GATAATGATGCCTTATTTCAGGGTAAGCCCAGAGTACAAATGGGTACCTGATGTTTTCAGTTTGAAGAGATTCATTTATTTATTTTTTAGAAAGATTTCCTTATTTATGCGTGTAAGAAATGGGGTGTAGACCAGACTGTGGGGGTTTGTGAGGATTCACCAGACAGAGTGGTGAGAACAGGTAGATCTACTAAAATGCACTACTAAGGGGAGCAGCAGGTGAGACAGGAGAGGTCTGCTGTGCCAAGTGGGTCAGCTCCTTGGCCCTGGATTGAACTTACTTTGCAGTGGCTGGGAATAGCTTGACAGCTCACACTTTAACCCCTGTGCCACCAAGTTTGCCCTGAAGAGATTCATTAAATCTTTGTGGTATATGATTCATTTTCTTTTAGGAATGAGTTGAAAATATATTATAAAAATAAAATATAATTAGATGCTATTTATTACAGAGAAACATATATACTTGCTTTCTATGTTGCAAGAGACACTACAAAATTTGCTGAGACTAATATATTGGTTAAGTTTAGAAACGATGCTTTGTCTCTCTCCAGGTGCACTACTTTGACAAATTAACCATTGCAATGTTCAGTTTCTTCATCTATAAAAAGAAGATGTTGGCCCTCCCTGGTGGCGCAGCGGGTTAAAGCACTGCACTAAGAAGCTTAAGCCACTTCTGCATGAGTTCGATCCCTGCCTGCCCTGGAGGAGATCCACAGGGCAAGGCAGACCTCTCCTGCCGGCCCGCTGCTCCCCTCAGCAGTGTACTTCGTCGATCTGCCTGTTCTGCTCCCCACGCTGTTTCTGGTGAATCCTCTCACCCTCCACATCTCTGGCCTGTACCCCAGTTCTGTATGAATAAGTAAATAAATCTTTAAAAAAAAAAAAAAGAAGATGATAATAATAATGCCTTAGAACTTATCTCAAATATATTAAGTGTTAGCTAAAAGCAAACAAATGGAAATAACACTATTTAAATATGTCCTCAACAGAAAAGGACAGAAGAAACATGGGACATTAAAATCATACACAAGCAGCATGGCAGACCTCTCCTGACTTGCCAACTTATCCCCTCAGCAGTGGATTTCAGTATGGCTGTCTGTTCTGCTCCCCACTCTGTCTCTGGTAAATCCTCTCCCCACCCCTGCACCTCTGTTCTGTACCTTAGCCCTGTATGCATAAATAAATAAATCTTTTTTTATAAATCATACACAACCTTTGTCTGTGACCAACAGGTAATAAGTACTTAATACTCCCAATCAAGGTACAACGTAGTGTGGCTTGCATTATATTTTGAAAGTCTCCAGGTAGGCCCTCCCTGGTGGTGCAGTGGGTTAAAGCACAGCACTAAGAAGCTAAAGCCACTTCAGCATGAGTTTGATCCCCGCCCAGGAGGTGACCCACATGGCGTGGCAGACCTCTCCTGACCTACCTGCTGCTCCCCTCAGCAGTGTACTTCCTCAGTTGGCCTGTTTTGCTCCCCACCCTGTCTCTGGTGGATCCTCTCACCACCCCTGCACCTCTGGCCTGTATCCCAGCTCTGTACGCATAAATAAATAAATCATCTAAAAAAAAATGTCTACAGGTAACGTTGGTTTGTGAATATAAATAAATTCAACCTAATAGCATTGCTTAAAATGATGAAATCTTCATCTTAAGTTTAACAAGCATCTTCCTGACCAAGCTTCCTCATTTACTGCAGGAAAGCCTCTACTGCTTCTAAATCCAGGGACTTAGAAACAATCTCACTGATTCTTACTATTCTGGGCTCCTAGACAAACTATCTGATACTGTTTTGGCCACTAATGCCACGAGTCTTTATGAGCCATTCCTGATTAATGGCAACATTGCATAGAGGCCTATGGTAGACCCCCTCCCACCCCCACAAAGTTCTGTGCTGTACATTTTTCACCAAGGCCCAAAGTAGTCCTTTTTTTTCTTTTTTAAACAGGAAGGTTTTTTTTTTAAAAAAGATTTATTTATTTATGCATACAAGAACTGGGGTACAGGCCAGAGGTGTGGGGGGTGAAAGCATTCACCCGAGACAGAGTGGGACACAGGACAGGCAGATTGACGGAAATACTCTGTTGAGGGGAGCAGCGCGTGGGACAGGAGAGTTCTGCCATACTATGTGGGTCACCAGGCTGGCCCAGGCTTGAACTCATGCTGCAGTGGTTGCAGATAGCCTCACAATGCTGTGCTTTAATTTGTTGCACCACCAGGGAGGGCCCAAAAGTGGTACATCTTAGACCTGAAATCTCACAGTCATTTGTGAAAAGGATGCTTGTTTCTAACCCTAACTTTTTCCCAAGGGGATCAAGACAAATAGAAGATTCTATGGGTGAGCAAGGAACATAGGAACCACATTGTCTATTCTGATAGTCTCTCAAAGCTTAATTCAGAAACAAATACTCAAAGAATGCTAATGTAGACAAACACATAGTTGGAAAGATGAACAGTCTATCAGGCTTATAATCACAATTGCGCTCTAATCACAATTTGGTCCAGGTGAATCACCCAAGATCTTATCCTCTATTCCTAGGTTTTTGTCATCCAGAATCTGACAGAGAACTCATTCAAAGGCATCTGGTGTACTACCTGCTCCTGTGAAAGTGCAACACTGTATATAGAAAGAAGATTCACTCATTTCTGAGGCTGAAGCCACTTGGGCCCGCTTCATATCTGCCTGATTTCACTGGGATCTAGTGTCCCAGTTCCTTGGCAACATGGATTTCTGGGGATTTCTGTTGTGCTGATGTGCGACCATTTATAACAATTAACACATTAACAATGGCATGATATAGGGAAACAGCTTAATTTTATTCCTGATTTCTTAAAACTTTCCTTAAAATGTGAGTTGTTATTGTTCTTGCTAATTTTATTTTCTTGAAATTGCATAATATATGAGGACCCAGGACATTAGGTTTTTCTCTCTTTATATCTATAGAGAGAGTAGAGAGAGAGATCTCTCTCTATATATATTTTTCTCTCTACATAAGGGCCCTCTCTGGTGGCGAGAGGGGTTGGAGTGCAGCATTGCAAGGCTGGCTATAGCTGCTTCCAGTTCGATTCCCTTCCAGGTAGGTGACCCACATGGCCAACAGACTTCTGTCTTGTGGGCTGCTCCCCTCAGCAGTGTACTTTGTCAATCTGCCTGTTCTGCTCCCTACTCTGTCTCTGGTGAACCCTCTCACCACCCCCTGCACCTCTGGCTTGTACCACAGTTCTGGATGCATTAATAAGTAAATCTTAAAAAAACAAAAAAACCCTCATGCTTCTTCCTGGGAATATATTGTCAAGTGTAAAATAGAATAAATGATGCTAAAAAATGATTAACAAAAAGATATTGGAGAATTCCTCTTTACTCTCACATGACTCCAAAAGTGTATATTTGACATTGTTTTTCTAGGTTATTTTAATCACCATTCTTAACTACAGGGTCTTCCACCTTAGATTTCTATGAGTCCCTTTTTCTACCCTGAAACTTGTTTTTTCAAGAAGACAGGATAAACAAACCCAAATTTAAGTGCCAGTCATGAATACACAATCTAGCTTTCATTAAGATATTCTAGTGCAAAGACACAAGTCAACAATTTCCAATTGTAAAGCTAGCTCTGCCAGTCTTAACCTGTAAGAAGCAAATCAGAACAAACTCCCAAGCCAATTTCTCTGTTTAACAGAAGGTTCAACAATACCATTTCACAGGATCTTTAAAAAAATAAGTGAAGTTATGAAACTGGAAATACAATTGAGCACAGTAGGTGCTCAATTTATGTCAGTTTACTCAAAAAGAGGACAAAAACCTAGAAAAATTACTTTTAACTCTTAAGGAATTTTATATTGTCTGGGAGGCCTTTTAATAGGTGTTGGCTTTCTTACATTATATTTTAAAGGCAGCTAAACATTTTCTTTTCTTAACAAAAAAGGGACACTTGTATCAATGTTCATCAAGGCTTTAAAATGAACCTGGGTAAGTCTGGCTGTGACAGAGTAGGGAGCACAAAAATATTTTCCTAAGTTTAAGGTATATTACTTGTGACTTTTCTTTCCAGCTTTATGAAGTTCATTTCATCTGAGGACATGATTCCCTTTCTACCCCCAAGACATTCATCTCTACCCGGAGAGACTGAAATATGCCTGAATTTATCTAATCATCATTTATAGATTTAAGCTTAAAACATTTATTAAGTCGACGTTTTCCAATCGCCGTGGTTCAACTTGGGCGCAGCAGCTAACTCTGGGATTTAAAACTGTCCCTCCCAGTCTCTAGAAAGCACCTACAGGATGGGGTGTCTGCACCACTTGATCCAATCGCCTAACTTTCTAGCGGGCCTTGGATACCCTTTTATTCTCTGCTCCATAAAGGTACTTGGATTAAAGATCTGAGCAGCAGTTCAAGGACTCAAGATGCCCTCCTCCGTTTTGTGGCCAGACGTCTGCGTACGAGCTGCCGCGGGAACTGGCACCATATCATAGGGCGCGATGGTGGAGACGGCGGTGGCTTGAAACAGGGCTCGGGCCAGCGCCCTTTCGCATCTCCAGACGAGGGACACCGCCCAGGCGCTCCGGTTGCTAAGTCCTCTGTTTGCAGCGTTCTTAAGGCGCCCCGAGCAGGACCAAGGCAAACCGGGAGGGGGGTGCCCGGCAAAGCCAAAGCACTGTCTTCAGCAAACAACTGGGACAAGCAGCTGTTCCAGAGTGCTCGCTCCCTCCCTCAAGCCCTCCGGGTGCGAGGTGGGGGCGCGGGAGCGCGGAGGATCCCCCCGTCCTTGGTTCCTCCCAACCGTCGCCCGCCCGACGCGCCCTCGGCGTCCGCTCTACTCCGCGCGTTGCGCACCCCCGGTCTCAGCCCGCGAATGGTCTGTCCCGTCGGTAGCCACCACCACCCCCTTCGGCAGCGACAGCTGCTCCAGCTGCTCCGGGTCCAGCGCCGGAGCCCGTGGGGTGGCTGCCACGCGCGGTGGGTGGGTGGGTGGGTGGAGGGGAGCATCGAACCACCAGCGGCGGCTGCCGGGCCCCGGGGCCGCTGCCCGCGGGAAGCCAGACAACACGCGGGCTGCGGAGGGACCTCCTGCAGCTGGAGGCGAGGAACCGGGCTGGGCTGTCCGCACCGGGGTGAGTACCTGCTGCCCCATCCTCTTCAATCCCCTTTCACTGTCCCCTGGACCTCGAGGTCTCGGCCTCCATCCCGGAGCGTCACTGCTTTGGGGACACTGTCCCCCGCGGGAGCGGCAGAACGGGGAACTGCTGCTGTTAGTGCAAATGATTCAGCACCATTCGTGTCCCGAGAGGTTTGGAGCGAATGGGGGAGGGTGGGGGCGCGAGGTCAGTTACTGCGCTCTCACCTCAGTTTCCAGCCTTGTGAAGACCGACGTCGGCGGACAAGATTGGGTGGTGTGAACAACTGGGAGGCTTCCTCCCGGTTGGTTTGTTCTTTAATTCCGTCGTATTCTCACATTGTGGTACAAACCTCATGAGGGTGCCGTGCAATCTTAAAAGTGTGAGATTTGTGTCTTTTTTTGAACATGTGAAGGAAACGTTAGGGCCCTTGTCAGTACTTCACACTTTCTCTACTTTTGGGCTATGAAAGCCTAATTCCACTGTTTTACATCTCACAGTATGCCTCCCTTAATGTTGGAGCAAGATGCTTGCTGTATCTAAGTTGTCATGGATTGAGGATGGGTTTGATTGGTCCTGGTACAGGAGGAAACGATTTAAGGAGGGTAGGAAATGAGTAATGCTTTCAAAGCTAGACACTTACATGTATTATTTCATGAAATCAGCACAATTCACAAATGCAGAGCAGGGAAGTTAATTTTACCCACTCAAGGTCATAGAACAGGAACTTGAATGCAAGTCCCTGACTCCAAAGTTCACGAGCCTTCCAGTGTATCAAGGATTAGTATGGCCGGGTATACATAAATGCTTTTGCCTAGGAAATACAGATGTATTTTCATGGGACCATGTAATCTCAAACAACAGCAACAAAGCCTGTAAATTTCCTCTATGTGGAATTACTGTCCTTTAGTATAGAAGTAAGAATATTCTTTAAATCATGTGGACAAAACTATTTGATTAATAGACCAAAACAACAACAACGACCCCAAAACTGCTTAACTGGACAACGCTGTCTAAGGGAGTTATGTGGTAACAGGGGATATTGAGTGCATTTTGTCAGTGATCTATGGTGGATGTGCAAGTGTCAGAGAAATCAATTAGGAAAGTAAAAAAAATCTGGAAATCTTTTCCTTTTTAAAAAACCCTAGGAAAACATTTGCAGTTACAAGTTGTCTAATTCACTTGTGTCTGTCTGTCTAAACTGCACCCTACAGTAGGGTCATATAAATCCAGACTGATAATTTGTTATTTGGTCCATTACAATGTGATTTTGTATGGCAGGTGTTCACTCACTTTACAGACTAAACTGAAATAAAGAGCAGGTTCAAGATCATCCAGCTAGTAGTAGCTGGTGAATGTACTATTAGGTGCCATGTTTCCCATGTAAAAAGTTATGCATGTTGTAACAAAATGTATTTCTGAATAGTGGGAAAGGAAATCATTCATGTTTGCCTGACCTTTAGACTCAACAATTACTGATATATTGACCTTGTATAATCCTTTTGCAAAACAAAAACAAACAAACAAAAAAAAACAAAACAAAACGGATGCTGGGTTGTTTTTTGGTTCATTGCTTTGTCATTTGACTTGTTTTCATTTATGATTTATGTGTTTTTTCTGAAGATTTACAAGTTGTGTTGATGTCTCAGGAGGCAAGTTGCTACAGCACACAATGCTCATTATCTCTAAGCACTGGTTTAGTATTTGATGGCAGACAGGAAAATAGTCATCTTAGCCATCATTTCTAAAGTATTGAACTATTTACTTTGGAGAGTTTTTTTTTTTTTAAGATTTATTTATTTATTTGTACAGAGCTGGGGTACAGGCCAGAGATGCGGAGGGTGAGAGGACTCACCAGACAGAGTGGGGAGCAGAACAGGCAGATCTACGAAGTACACTGCTGAGGGGAGCAGCGGGCAGGCCAGGAAGGGTCTGCCTTGCCATGTGGAGCTCCTCCCGGGCAGGCGGGGATTGAACTCATGCGGAAGTGGCTTAAGCTTCTTAGTGCTGTGCTTTAACCAGCTGCGCCACCAGGGAGGGCCACTTTGGAGAGTTTTTTTAAGTTAATGAGGATATGGATAAACTAATGCCCACTGCCCAAATAAGGCCATTGAGGGAGGGTCATATTTACATTTGTAGTTCATACTACGCTGTAAAAGGAGTAGGGGCCTGTGATGAGTCTTAAGCTTGGTTCTCAGGTCATTTCTTTTTGTTATTTATATTCCTGTTGATTATATCCTGAACCTCAGTGAGGCATTTGACAGCCTGATCTATTTAATTCCAACATGAACAGAAGAATTGGTATGAAATAAGCAAAACACAATACCATTGCTATTAAAACAAAGAAAAGTGCATATCTTAATGATGGGTGCCAGCCAGGAGCATTTTACACAGAGGCATGTAGATGACATCACTGAGAGTATGAGGGTAATATGATCTGGCGTTAGAACTACACTTTCTTTCTCTTTCTCTGTGTGTGTGTATATATTTGTCAGATGACTACCGTTTGTACACTAGGTTCTTGACTTTATGGAACTTATAGTCTAACTGGGGGAAGATATTTATAAATCATGAGTAATTAGCAAAATAATTAGATTTGATTTAGTAATAGTGGGTGGTGCAGACTTAAGTGCTGTATCAACTCCTAGAGTCTGTGATCATCAGAGGATTAGGAAAGCCTACTTGGATGGCAGGGAGTAAACTGACTTTCTGAGAGAGGGGAAGGAGTTTCACCATCAAAGAAAGCCAGACAGAAAGGTCCAGTTAAGAAGTGTTTTGTATTGTTTGGATATACTGTGAACAAATCATGAAGAACCTTGAATAGTAGGCCATGAAATCTGTACTTTTTCTGGTAATTATAGGGAACTAGTTTAGGTTTCTAAGCAGGTCAAATTTCTCCTTTGGTGGTTTTGCTCCTGATTTCCATATTCCTTACGGTAGGTTCTCTTCCTAAAAAAAAAAAAAAAGGTTTATTTTCTGGGTACTGCTAAAGGGATTAATTGTCAGCTAAACCTAGAAAAGTTTTCCTATGCAAATAGAATTTGCAGAAAGTTTGCTCTTTAAAAAGCTCTCCCTTATAGAATTATGAATAATTTAGACTATAAAAAAGGAAAAATATGACCAGATTCTTATAAAAAAAAAAAAAGCCCAGTGTTAATATTTTGGTGTTATTTCCTTCAACTCTTTTTTCAGTAAATAGTTTTAATCGTGCCATGATGTTATTTTTACTTTAAAATATGTAACATTGATTTTTGCTTAATTGCAGCTGCACAAAAGATGCACATTTAAAAAGTTCATATATATATATATAAAATAAAATGTTTATATAATTTTCCATTAGGTTGATGTACAATAATTTCCCAATAATAATTTCCCAATCTTTCCTTAATGTCACTATATTATCAATGATACAAAAGAACTCTATGATTATAGAACTGTGGTTAATATCTTTGTTCATAAATGCTTATCTATATTTTAAAAATTAAGCATAGAATATTTATGTTAATTATTAAACACTAAATCCTATTGAATCCTCCTCAGATTACATTATTTCAGGTAACCTCTTTATTTTGATTAGAAAGATTAGTTAATTCATGGAGACTGGGAGTTTCCTAAAGGAAATCACTTGGGGTCATTGAGGAAAGGAGATGTAAATAAACTTGGAGACTATGTTTGATGAGAGTGACCAAGAGCTGTTAGTTTAGGAAGGGGTGAACTCTAGTCCTAGTTTGTAGTTGTGGGGTTCAGTTCCCCCTCCCACCAGCATCTACCCATATTGCCACAAAGTATCTTACCTCATTCAAACTAGCTCCTTCCCTCCTCCTGTGTCAGATTCCCAGGTCTCTGGCTTTATGATCCCGCAGGGAAACATGTTCACTCATTTTGCACTCTAATTTGGAGAATCCTTGAAGGTGAGAGCAGAAATTATAGACCTTCTCCCATTTATCAGTGAAAACCTTAGATACCAGATATAAGGATGTGGGATAGACACTGAAGACCCATAATTCCTTTCCTGTGTATATTGACCAAGACAGCTTGTGAGAACAGTGGTCAAGGGGAGACATAACATTCCCAACGTCACATCCTCACATTCAGATGCTTTCCTTCCTTCATTCCTAATACCCCTCTATTAGAGGAAATTTCTCTCATGGAGGAGAGAGAATGTACCCCAATTTCCCCATCAATTTTAGGGACACATGAACTACCTCCTTGTGATGAGGGCGGAGGCCCAATCTTGGACAGGTACATTGACCAGGTCCCTCACTTGACCCCACTGCTTCTCAACTGAGTCTCCTCTAAGTCCATTCCCATCCTTTTTGGAATAAAAATCCAGGAAAGCATTGAGACAAGGAGGCATTAAGTTTCTCTGAGGTCTAGTGGAAGAATAATCCGGAGCTGGAAACTCTTAGAGGACATGAGCAGGATCTGAGAGGTAGGTTATTAAAATACACAGTCTTAGGGGCACAGCGGGTTAAAGCACTGCACTAAGAAGCTAAAACCACTTCAGCCTGAGTTCGATCCGCGCCCCGGAGGTGACCATCTGGCACAGCAGACCTCTCCTGACCTGCCCACTGCTCCCCTCAGCAGTGTACCTCATCCATCTGTCTGTCCAGCTCCCCACTCTGTCACTGGTGAATCTTCTCACTGCCCCTGTACCTCTGGCTTGTACCCCAGTTCTGTATGCATAAATAAATAAATCTTAAAAAAAACAACAACACAGTTTTAGGCTTGAGAGGCCTGAGAGGAAGCAATAAAAGCTGACACACTACAGACCAGAAAAACCAGACCTTTCCTTCTTTGAGGACTCGCAGGTGATTTCTGATGGGTGCTTAGCACTAAGGTCGGCTGATAGTTTAAGCAAAATTTTCCCTTTGCTCAGCTGGCACCTGTTATAAGTTTAAGCTTTTAGAAGGTGCTAAATATATTTCCTTTCTTTCCAAGCATTAGTTTCAAATTTGAGCTGGACTTAGCCAACAATTTTCTAGGGTTAAGGTAAA